CCCTCATCGGTATCTTCCTCGACCTCTTCCACCTGTTGACAGGTGGGCTTTTGGTTTAAGGACTTGCTTTCATCACCGCACGCTGTTCTCGGCTCTGTGGCTCCCCTAAATTTTGTTAGTGATAACCGCCTGTGATACCTACACTTGAAATGTACTGTTTAGTCCAACTGGAGGAGCCCTCTCCCCTTTTTTTCATTTTCTAAAATAAATTTTATTTTGCACATTTCGAGAATACAACATGACGTTATGGGATACTTAGAGACAGTAAAATGGTTACTGTAGTAAAAACAAATTAACATATCCATCATCGCACATAGTTACCCATGTTTCGTTTGTGGCAAAGCAGCTAACATCTACTTTAGCAGGAATTTTACAGTCTGAGTTTTAAACGCGATCCTCATGTTGCGCATTAGATCTCTGGATGGGCTCATTCTATACGTCTGCGACTTTGTATTCGCAGACCTTCATCTCTCCCTTTCCTCTCTCCGATCCTCAATCACTAGTTTATTCTCTAACTCTGTATATTTGGCCTTCTTTTTTTAGGTTTCATGTAAAACTGAGATCATACAGTATTTTCTGTGTCTGGGTTATTCACCCGGGCAGAGTATCCTCCAGGTTCAGTGGTGTTGTGGTAAATGGTAGATCTCCCTCTTTTTAAAAGGCTGAATAATATTCCATCATATATATATATATATATAATATGCTTCCAGCATCAACCTACACCAACTTGACCACATTTAAGAGTCCCTGCAGTTCTAGACAGGGTTCCTTGTAGTCACAATCACTGAATAAAATAACCAATGGCCTTGTTTCATTTCCTATAGTTATAACACACTCAACTTTGATGCAAATTCAGAATGAATGTTTTAGGACAGTGGTTCTCAAGATATGGTCCTGGGGCCAACAGCATCAGCATCACCTTGGATCTTGTTAAAAAAACACAAATGCACAGGCTCCTTCCCAGATCCAGTGAATCAGAAACCAATGTGTTAACAAGCTTGCCATGTGATTCTGATGTCCCTGAAGTCTGAGAATTGCTGGTTTAGGGAAATAACTTCTGATAGTGACAACATCTTATATCTATGGAGGGCATACTGTGGAACAAGTACTATTATAAGCATTTAAAAAATGCCAACTTATTTCATTATCATAAATAGCACCCAAAAACCTAAAAGGGGAGTATTTATATTATTCGCATTTTACGAGTATAGTACATAAAGGAAAGTGACTTGTCTCAGGTCATGCGGCTTGTCAGTAGAGTAACCAAAGTTAATTCAAACCTAGGTGGTCTGGCTCTACATTCTTAACATTTAACCACAAAGCAGTGGCTGCCTCGCTTGGCTAAACATTGGTAATTTGCCACATCCAATGGTTAAGAAGCGTTCAAGTGATTTATACTTAGTAACAAGTCAGTCATTGGGTCAGAGACTCAGAGTCTGAAGTAACTCTGGAAGCATGTATGAAACAAATACAGTCTTTAGTTCTGCTGAGCTGACAAGACTCTGTAAGTTAAAAATCTACAGATGATGTCCAAACTTGGATGCTTGCTTTGGAAATATGGCACATTTGTGGATTCTTGACATCCACAGTTTCTCTTTCTCACAAATGTCCTTGGTGACCAACCTCATGCCTTTTGTATTCTGTAGTCAATTTCTAACATAGGTCTGCGTTTCCAGCTCTCTGCTGAGATGAACCACAGAAAGATGACTGTGATGTCATACTTCGCATTTTCCCAGGATGGTTACCCGGGGTCATTTTCTTGCTATTGGTTTTAAAGAGAATTCTTGTTACGAATATGTGTCTTAAGAATTTTTATGAGAGAAATTTCTACCAATGCTTTGTGTCTATTTATATAGAATACAAATACTCTATATTTCTACTTTTTAAAAAAGTTTCAGATTAACCTGTGGGTACTCACAGTTAGGTTACATTGTTTGCATTTGTTAGATAAAGTCCAAGTTGTACTTGAGCCCTTCACCCAGGAGGTGTGCCGTATACCCCTACACTGTGCCCAGTGGATGAGAGCTTACCACGGCCTCTCTCTCTTCTCCCATATTTTATTTTTTATTTAATCGACCAGAATTATTAAAAACTTAAAATCATAGTTGAACTAATTCTAGTTTAATTTTCCCTACTTAATAATAATTTTAATAATATTACTAATTTCTTTTATTTTAATCTTGGGGAGAGCAGAGACAGAGTCTCACTATATTGCTCAGCCTGGTCTCAAACTCCCAACCTCAAGTGATCCTCCCACCTCAGCTTCCCAAAGTGCTGGGATTACGGGTGTAAGCCTGGACTAATCATTACCTTTATATTTAGAGCATATGTATACCAAAGTCTGTATGTATGTTGCTTAATTCTCAGAAATATTCTGATGAGGAAGGTGATAAAAGTATACCCATTTTTTCAGATGCTATTTCTAAGGATAAAATATATTAAATGATTCAGAGACAAAATACAATATTGAATTGATTTTAAAACTGTAAGACCTATGCTCTTAAATCTTACATTTTCGAATCTCCTTCTGATTTAATTTATATTTAGACTACTATAAAATTTGGACTAAG